CTTTTTAATATCAACTTCAGAGTACTTGTGTGTACAATCAGAATGTTTTGTAACAAAAAAAATTTTGCAAATGACAAATGGCAAGGTAAGTATATTGAAAAAGCAGCTGTCTATGATGTCAAAAAGCCTGGATTTTAATTTATCGTGGGGAATGGTTGTATAAAGTGTTGAAAAGTCGAACGTTTTGATGTTGCTGATTTTGGTAAAATTTTTGATTTCAAATTTTCTAAAAGTTTTTAAGTATTCACATCTTATTTACACCACTTGTACAGTACTCCTGAAGTAATTCTCTGCTGTAAATATCTTACGAGAGGAGTAGAGAAAGGGGCTTGGTAAAACATTTACTAGAACCCGATTTTTATGGAGTTTTGGAATCCAGTATAGGTTGAGAATTCTAAAAATATTTAAAACTGACATATGGTTTTGAAGAACTTATTTCTTAGAAATGGAGCTATGGGTTTAAGTTGGATTACCACTAGCAGAGTTAAATCCTAGTTCCTCTAAAATATAATTCAAATAATGAGCCTTACAAGCAAAGACAATGTTGTTACCTGCTTTGTCAGCGGGGACCAGTAAATACTGATCGTGTATTCTATCTAATTCTTGTTTCACTTCTGCATTGTCGAAGTCAGAAGGATAGATGGTTTTCATATTGCCCCTCAGCCGCTTAATGTCACATTTCAACATCCATCTGATCCATTTAATCCATTTTGACAAAGTGTCAAGGTCTTCTCTTGTGGTTTCAGATTCTTGCCAAGGAAAGGGATATTAATGTATTAAAAAATGTCATTGTGAAAAATTGGATGGATTGGACCAAATACTTTTTAAATCCAATGTTATTCAAATTTATAAATGAAATGTTATAAAGAGAAGTTTTAACACTGGCCTTTCTCGTGTATAACTAGAGAACAATCAGGATTGAAGCAAAACAAAAGTAAACTCCATCTCATGCAAAAGCTGAGTTCATAGATCAATTTCTGCTGCCAAGATTTTGTTAGATCCAAAACAGATATCATACGATGAATATAGAAGAAAAAATGGAAAGAAAGGTTCCCATTGCATAATCTTGTTAGCCTCTTATTACCATTTGGTATTTCTTGTCTTATACAAATAGAAGTTGCAAGTAAACGCTTTCTTAACACAACTTCATATTTCTACAAGAACATGAGATATATATAAAAAAAAAAAAAAAACAAATGTATTAGCCTGTATTGTACCAAGCTCACTATAAATTAGTTTCATTCATAACTTTGCTTTTTGTCTCTCTTAGAGAATTTACTACGTAAAATCATGCATTTTTTAAATCAATATTTCAGTGTGTTTAAGAATTAATGTCTGATAGATGATTTTTTAGGAAATGACGTGCTGGTGTCAATTTCATTGTCAATTTTCAGCGGATATGAATTTGCTCATGACATGGACACTGTGATTAAATTTCAATGTAACTCTTTTCAAAAAACGTACCAGGAGTTCTCTGCCCGCCTTGCGGGATAACGAATGTTGTTAATTGGATCTGCTTTGATTCTCTCTCTCCATATCCCGGAACAAAATATCTGAGGGTGTAAACGTTTTTGTCAAGATTTTCATCATATCACGCATTTTAAATGTGTAATGGTATTCTTCTCACTGAGGGGACGACGTGTGTTACAATATTAGATTAACATGTAAAGATTGTATAATTATGTAAATCAAGGACTGTAGATCTTAATCAGATTATACTTCATTAAACATATCCCATTAAGCCTTCTCCTTGATTTAACGCTCATCGTGTATGATCGAAAGTTCACCTTTGCCTTTGGGAACTTATAAAAACCAACAGGTGGCAGGGGCATTGACAAAGTGTGAAACATTATAATTTCCGTATGCTTTATTGTTATTTCCCTAATAAAAAAGGATTAACCTTCTAAATAAGAATGAAACGTTAAGTTCCTTTATACATATTAAATTTACACCTGAACTTGATTTTATGTAAATTGCCAGAGGCAGTTTTCATCGATACGACAAAATGAATTTAGTGAGTACTAGAACAAATTTACTTAATGGTGGGTATGTGGAAGTGTTTATTACCAACATAAGGAGTGTTTTTTCTTTGTATATAGACTTTCTTACGCATTTCAGTCCAGGCGACTAATATGTCATTGATACCTACCCATGTATATTTAGGAAATTAATACCTATTTACAAATATCTCTTCCGCTAAGTATGCAAATTTTTTGCTTTGCCATCTAGTGTATGACATATGTAAGACGCTTTATCAGTCTTGGGTAAACATTTGAATTTCGGGTTAAGATTCAATACATGCTTTCTTCGGAACAAACAATCCATTTGCGAACATAGATGTAAGTTTGGTTAGTTATTAATTTGGATTTAGCTTGATTGACCGAGAGATTTAAAGGGCAAAGGCGTTTAGCACTGTGAAATTCACATGATTATCAGCATGCAAGGAATGACAGACACTTCCAATTGCTCTGTAATTCACGCTTGCTTTATATATATAAATTATATTACATGTAAGCTTCTTCAATGTAGAAGCATGGGTAGATTTCCAAAAAAATCATCAACATTTACATCATGAAAATAAACATAATTGCTTTCTTCATAATTGTTTTATTTTAATGAACTACAAAAATAGTTTATTTCATTGCAATTTTCAATTTAAAAAATGGTCATGGAATTCAGTGACATTTAATCACCTATATTTGCACCCGGATGCAAAAATAACTAAATATTTGTTGGTGGCAATGAAGACCTTACAGTAGAATTTTTAATAACGCACCAAGTAGAGCCTGGGTTTTTCTCTACAACCAAGAATGAAAATTAGAAAATTTCAATGTCCGAAGAAAGCACATTTTTAATTTCAATACATCAAAAAATCGTAGGTGTTTTGTTTGCTCTCAATAATCGTATCCGCATCCGCAATTGTGTAATTCCACAAAAATCTATTATCATGACCTTGCATCTTATCTCTTAGGAAATACACTTAGAATACATACATACATACATACATACATACATATATATATATATATATATATATATATATAAGTCTTTCTTTCAAGTCGTCTCTCAAATGAAAACACGCTGGTCTTAGCTTGATAACATTTTATAAATGGATGCACAACCGTTTGCATTCTTTGGGTTAAATCCATTCATAAAAGAATAAATGAACGATAAGCTATCACATTACACGGGGTGCAAAATTATTTCACTCCTGGGTAATTTACAATGTGTTGCTAGGGGGTCATGGTGCGTTAATTCTGAGAGTATTTCAAGCTTTAGGTTTAATTTTTCACATTTCCGTTTTATTAAAAAAAGATTAAAATTTCCAGTAAAATTATTTTAAATTGGTTTGTCACGCAACATTACAAGCAGGGTGATATAATCGCTGACTCACATTTGCCATTATTATGTCAATAAAAGATATTTTTAGAGTCCTAACAAAATTCGATTCAATGGAACTATTTGACAAAGGAAAAAGAGAATGCTCTTTAAAATTTTATTACGGTGAATTCAATAGTTGAGCTAATTTTAAAAGCCCGCTCATTATGAAATACACTGAATATCTGTATTGAAAACAAATATTTTTGGTTAACACGTACATTTAAGGATATCTCACAAAAGTAAATGAAACTGGAAATTTTCATTACTGCAGAGGATGCATGTATAGAAAATTTTTTCCTAATGAAAAAAGAAAAGAGATTCACAGTATTTGCAATAGCTTTACAAATTACATTAACAATTTTTGAAAATTACATTAACAATTTTTGAAAATTACATTTACGACAATTTTAAAGAAAATTAGATTTACCAATTCTATATATACTCTGTTCATATAACTGTTTAACTGCTCTAGTGTAGAACACATGAACTTCCATCTGTACCTATAATGCTCTTTGTCGTACATGTACATCACTAAATATTGATATGACACAAAAATATACTATTAAACTTGGCATTTAAGCTTGATAATTTAATATCTTTGTAAAATAAGAGGAGATCGTCATTAAATATCAAATTCTCCTTTAGTGTGAGGGAGGGAGTGGAGAGTCATTCGTGCATACAATGTATAATTGAAATAATTACTAAAGATTAAGATTTCTTTCTTATAGAAAAGATTTTATTGTCCTTTAAAAAGAGTGTTTTCTTTTTTTTAAAAAAGACCGAATTTGTTAACATAAGTATTTGATATTTGGTTTTGATAAACTTGATGTTCTATAACAAAATACTTGAACCAACATTTTTACTTGATGGCAAGATTTTAAAAGAAAAAAAAATATCGAAGTAATCTACTCTGGGGTAAAATTATGGCGTGATTGAAAACTCGCTTCAAATATTATTTGCATAGGGATATTGAAATACGATATATGTCATGCCATAATTCATTTTTCATTGAATACAAGCTTTTTAGCCATTCTTTAATGAATCCATATACTCATCGAACCGTGACACAGAGCCAGTTCTCAGTCGCGAGCTTTCAAAAATTCTGATCGACACGAAATCGATGAATAATGAACACTTTGTTCAATTCGCATACTTGACACACATCAAATATATAGGAATGGTGGAATTCTCGATAGAAAAAAAGACAACTTTATCCTTTCATTTGTTTATTACCATGAAAATTAATGTCAAGTAGATATGTCATCAATAAATATATTTAAAAAACAAAGATTGTCTTTGTGTAAGTATACTATAATGTACGCCTCAATGGATTTCAATCGTATATTTTTTTTCTAAGTTTTGAAAGATTTTTTTGACTCTGGTAATATACAACATACCAAAATTATCTAGTTAATATCAGATAAATAACTGTTTGATCTAGCTAAACCATTAGAAATGGATTGCCCAAGGCGGACAAAAACAGTTTCCCTCTTCAATTATACTGTGAATTAAACTTCAAGTACAAACTAAATCTCTTGCACACACTATAATATACATGTATATCTGTAGTATCAAAATGTTACGTTGCAAATACTAAACATTGTCGAAATACACTGATACCCCCATTCCCCCTCCCCACCCCGAAGAGTTTCATTTTTATATGCAGGACCGATATAAAATTAAAAGTACGAAGTGTCGTTAATTGGTTAGGGACTAGTTTTGGGTAAATAAATCTGAGACCATTACTAACGTATTCTTCACATCTTGCCACTAGCTTGAAAACCTTATTCATTGACAATTGATCTCGAACAACCCTACAAACAATTCCTGATTATGATATTTGACAATATTTGTCCTCGCTAACGATGGAAATCGTTTTCATTCTATTTCAAATTAATCGATATTCATATACCATCAATAGCTCATTTTAAAGGATAATTTACTTTTCACCATAGATTAGAACTCTTGCAAAAATTCACAAAATGGAAATTTTTAGCAATCAATTCGCTAAACACTGTTGTTTTGACTTAATATGAAACCTAAACAACATTTGTTACGCCTGGCTGTTAGCGTACATGTATCTATAAACCCCTGGCCATTTGTGATATTCTTTTTTCTGTTTCAATGAGTACTCTTAACAACAAACAAAAGAAAATCTGAGTCAAATAATGTGTTTGTGTGCTACGGTCGATTGTAAAAAAAAATGATGGCACGTAAATGAAATTCATAAGGCATCCTTTAGAATATCAGAAATTTCATATCGCTTCATCTACAAAATATACAAGAAAAGTTCCCCAACATCGGGAGAAAATATCTCACTTTGTCGGTAGCTCTGTCACCGAGTTTGATTATGTCTGCATTTGATTAATATAATGGATAAACTAGCACTGTGAAAACTTACTGGGAGCTAGTTCGTCTGCCTTGGCGCTGTGCAAGGCATCAAGATTCCACGCAGTGTATTGCAAATTAGAAAAAAAAAGTTTAAGTAAATTTTCTTTATCAACTAACAGTGTATACAGAAATACTTATGCGATATGGGGCCCATGGTGGTAAATGATAGGTAAATCTTTTTGAAACTGATGACCCGTTTCATCTTTTTACAAAATTTTAACGACCAAATTAAAAGGGAACAGTTTAATGCGGAGTGGCATTAATTTTTTGTGGACATAAGAGATTTATTGATTTTTCACAAGTCGGAACAATCTATAACTAGTATTGATAGCCAAGAACAGTGATATAATTTCAGTAGAAATGAAAACATCATTCAACTCAACCAGCCTATGTAAACTATTCTGATTTGGATTACACACTTATATACATATATATCGGAAATCTGAACATAATAAACATGCAAAACAAAATGAATCACAGCTCTTTGCAACGGTTTTGTTACCATTAATATCAGTGTTAACGAGTAAAGAAAATCGAGCACACCTTTGACCCCTTCAATCACTTTTATCACGTGTAACTAAAGAGGTGTGGCCTCTGCACATAAAGGTTCTTTGCAATCCCTCCTGTTCCCGTTTTCTATCGAATGCATGATATACTCCGATTTTGGAATTAAAGATTTGGTTGTTGACCTACTACTCTGTGCATAACTATTGCGTTTAGGTCTCACGCATTTACATGAATCGGGAAAGAGGATCTTTCGGAAAGCGTGCCTAAATTCTTTGTTAAAGATACTGTAAATGATTGGGTTTAAGCATGAGTTCACATATCCCAGCCAAGTTAAAATTTTAAACATCACTATAGGAACACACTTACAAAATGCTTCCACCAAATTCATCACAAAGAAAGGCATCCAACACAACAGAAAAACACCCATAATAATTCCTAAAGTCACGGCAGCTTTGTGGTCCTTGGACCCGGATCCCCCTCCTTTACCGCCGTTTGGCATGTGAAAACTTGTCTTGCGTATTTCCTTGACATGGCTTCGTGCGGCACAGTACAACTGCATATAAATAATAAGCATTATAATACAGGGTAAGTAAAAGCTAATGGTTGATGAAACTACAGAATACACAGGGTTGAGATCCATCAAACAAACGTTTTCTGGAATAGGTTTGTATCGGTCTTCCGCATTGCGATGCCATTGCAAGTGAATTGGTAAAAATGACAAGGTCAAGGACGAAATCCACACAGTGGATATGATGATGACCATCATTTTCTTAGTCATGAAAGTTTTATATTTGTATGGATCTTTTATGTGAATGTATCTGTCCAGACTTATGGCGCACAAATTTAAGATGGATGCTGTAGAGCAGTTAATATCGGAAGAAATCCAAATGTTACAGAAGACAGGTCCAAAAACCCACTTGTTTAAAATGTCGTTGACGACTGCAAATGTCATAACTAACAAGGCCATTAGCAGATCAGCTATAGCTAAAGAGACTATGAAAGCATATGTCCGATGTCTGAGTCTTCTATCCTTAAACACAGCCACACACACGAGCACATTTCCAAAAACAGCCGCAAAAATGAACAGAGACAAAATTGTCCCTATTATGATGCTCTCTGCTAGAGTATAGGCCTCTCCAGTGGCCTCTTCCTTCTGTAACGACTCCGTGATGTTGTTTATGCTAGTAACATTGCTCAGCAATTCGTAAGATACAGCAACGGTTGTTGAATTCAAGTTAAACGAAGTAAAATTTGTTACCATATTCAATCAAAGAATTGAAACACGACGTCTCCTGGTTTGGCATTGGCAATTGCACACTCACTTGATTAAATTCTTGAGCAAACATTGAAGAATTCAGCCCATTCCCTGCAATGTTCCGGTCCTTTTGGTCTATACTGTTTGGCACCGGTAGAATACGCCGTTAAGCTTTTGTTCCCCTTCTTCTTCAAGTGTTAGTTTGGCAAACATTTAGCGACTTTAGATCGATCCCGAGTTTTCGTTTTGCGAGAAGTTTGGAACAAACACTTCTGTGTATATTCGATAAATATCCTTTAACTTACATACCAAGTTTAATATTCACAACCTTTGGCGTTGTCAAATATGCATATGCATAGTAAAACAGTCTCACTTTTTTTTTTACATCCAAAATAGATGAAGAATTCCTTCTAACTGGATTTTGTTTATTTTTTAAGTTAATTAAACACCTGTATAATTTTACTTCTTCCACACACGGATGTTAAACATCGTATGATCCAGGTTAAAAATAAAACAGCACATTTAAATCACAGTGAATGAAAACGTTCTCATTTTTCTTTATATTTTCATTTACACTTAAATCTTAAAGAAAAATTCATCCTAAGTAACGCTAGTTGTCCGCTGCTTGTAAGGAGAATGAAATGATATCTCTCCCTTCGTGTCTAAAAATAATGAGAATTTAATCCGTTTCATCAACAATCTAACGTGATTCTTTTTCATTCCACTGAATTGTAAAGTTTTCTTAAGCGTTTACCTGTTTTCTCACACACAACAAATTATTATTTGAACTTGTGCTGTTTACCTACACCCTCTAGGCCTTTCCGCGCATGCTCAGTTCAAACAGACAAATAGCAGCATAACTTATTGTGCCGAAGTCCGTCCTTCCCTGTTTTTCTTTATAGATTCCGATGTCGAATTGAATCGCGGGCAATCACAAGCTATAGGAGAAAGAAAAGCAGTGCAGTACTGGTCTGCTGTGATACATCAATGCCTTACAAATCGTTAAAGGGGCAGATGGCGCATTGGAGTGTATGCAAGAGGACGGAAAATCAACATGTCTTGGGACAAATTAGCATTATTTATAGCGTAAATAATTGATGTTTTATTCATGTTTATTCAATCTCAATTCATATTCTAATAATAAGTGTCTCATAAGCTAGGATCGGAAAAAGGAAGTACCTCATAAATAAATGTTCTACGGATGATTCCGGGGAATGGAATCAATGCATTCTTGTGTGCTATAAATAGAAGAAAAAACTGTTACAGATACATGAACTTCCTCATAAATCAGATTTAATTTCCTTAATTTGTTGATAATGTAATATTATTAATTTGATTAATCCCGTGTTCCTCCTTTTCACAATATCTTTCCGACATTTCTTGGTATGCGGATTCAGCCACTTTAAAGGATTTTCAGGTGACATACACAAAATTGCTTCTACATGTCCGATGATCGAATCTGTCAATAGTAGACCCAGATACTTTGTGTGCACAACGCTGTCAATTTTGTTCTGTGATACTGGGGTCCTACCATCCTGGTACACAAATTTCAATTAAGGAATAAAACGACTATTATGAGTCGGTTGAAAAGAAGTGCTTTTCAATTATGTCGTTGTATTTAAGATGGCCAGCATGTGTATTTGCTTTCAAAGCGGGACTTTATCTTTCTTAACAACTGCAAAATGGCTGACAATCTTGGTAGGCTGTCCGCTTATTTCCTTTAAGTTAAATAAAATCCAGATAAGATCTTCTGTTTAAAATCACTATTGATTTTTTTTAAGACTAGACTGATCGGCAATTAAAGATGTTCAATTCTATTACATTTCATAAGGATATTCTATTATTCTCAGATATGCGGGACATTTTTTGCAAAACTGTATACCATTGAAAAAAAATTGATGAAACTTTAACGAGTAAGATTATCTCAGAACACAAAATCATTGCGTTTTGTTCTCTGATTACAGCCATCTATCGCTAACTTGATAAATATTTATGTTACAGAATACACTGTATTAATTATATTTAAATTACATAAAGACTCGACACAGTGATAAATTTCTCATAAACAATCGACATCACAGAACCACGGATGACTGCTTTAGCAGCCATTACTTTCATGCAACATGCTTGTAATATAAATGCATGTTATTGCATGCTGTTTTAACACATTTGTTTTTGTGCGTCCCATTTTCTCCAAAGAATCTCCTGCATTCCATGAATCACTCACAATAAAATTAAGAAGTTCTGCAACGTTTTACAGTCATTGTATTTCAGCAATTAAGACAGAGATCGATATGTTTTACATTTTGAGTGACCACAATGACTTAATGACTATTTTTTCTTTTATAATGTCGGCAAGTCAAAGAAAATTGATTTTTTTTAGCAACCTACTATCTGATTATACTATTTTCTGCAAATGTAGACAAAGTAAAACATTTATGGAGCATGTAATCCGAAAATTGTTTAAAATGATCGATCTAAGATGTTTTAAAACTGCTGAAATGGTTGATCCAATTTCATCCATTTTTGGTAAAATGCATATAAAGCTACATGTGCTTAAGAATAAGCTTAACAATATAGATATTGTTTGCTGATCTCCAGGGACACGAGAGATGGGGTAAAAGTCATAAATAATCATGCATTATTAAAATACCTTACCTTTAGATAGGATACAAATTGTTTGTATGATTGGAATAAGCAATATGAAATAAGAAAAACATCAAATTTCCCGCAGTTTCTTACAGTAACTACTAGGTTAAGAGTTTAAGCATAGCCTGAAATCAGCACTGAGTTGATGATTGATTAAATATATTAACTCTAGGAAACCTTCTTTATTTATAATAAATAATTAGTTGTTCTCTTTCAAATATTTAAAATCCATGACCATTGGGTCCACTCTAATGCAGATCGCAGAATAGGGTTTTAAGAGACCTTTGTGAAAGCAGACATGTTTTGGCACAATGCTCATGATTCCTCCTCTACTCTTTCTCTCATACATGTATATCCCCCTGATTCGATGGTCATGTTGGATCAAGATTATCATATATGAAGAATGCAATAAGAGAGAGATTACTTCTCGACATCTTACTGAAAACCCTTTTGTATTATAAACATGTATAATAATAAATTCTAAAATTCTTGTCCCTTGAATTAGGGATTTAAGGCCTTAAAGAGAACAGCAATGTCTACAAAATATTATTTTAAAAAAACTGTCCTTCAAACTATTCCAAAATGCCTGCTATTCAAATAAAGGTTAAAAAAAGCTGCCAACATTATGTGTGAATCTGTTCCTCAAACTCTGGATAATAGAACCAGAAAGTGCAGAAATGTTAAATAAAAAATTCTGACAAATCATGCAAAGGTTACATATGCCCTATATTTATCTCAAAGCCATTATCCAAGGTCATCTCGACAAGGGTAAGGTCATTGAAAAGAAAATATCAAATTCTGGAGAAATACTTAACAAACATGCAATTCGAACATGGGCCTTGAGGGTCACTCGGACAGTAGAGTATGCTGAGTTTCTTGGGCTATAACAATTGGAGGCACATGGAAATGAAACACTAGAGTCATATAATAAAAAAAAAATACAGTTTAATGGGAATTCTGTAATCATTGTCATATGTAGCTTCTCTTCAGAAGTACATGGTTTGATAAACTTAAATATAACTAACTTTTATCAACCTTGGAGTCCTATCCATATTTTATCATCCTTACAGCCCGATCACTATACGCAGATGACATACATTTTATAATTTTTGTAGAGGACTAACTTCCTATTCTAATTTCGCAAATCATTTGTCTGCTAGATTTCTGTGAGTAATAAAGAAGATATTTAATATACATCAACTTAGAGCCTGTGCCATGGACCCAGGGTTATGAATTTTACAATTTTTTTAGAGGCTAAAAGTAAATTATTATCATTATCTGCTAGTAGATGACCACCATTAAAGAAAATTTCAAAAGCGATAAATATTTTCAATGAACATGTATGACCAACTAATCCCCTCCCAGTCGCATGGATTTTAATTAAAAGTTATAGTACTATATTGTATTTAATCAGTTTTTACTGCATTTCTCCATATAGGAAGGCAGCCTAGAATAACAAGGAACGTTTATGTTTATAATAATATTTCCGTCCACCTAATTGATAATAAAATCTTTACTATATAGCTTTCAAATTGTTTAAAAGCTTTGCTGGATGTAAAACTTGACGGGAAATATCACAAGTAGTTCTCGGTGAGCAACAGTGCACGACCAAGGCAATAAAAAGTCCTCAATTTTTGTAATGAATTAAGGATGTAAAATATACCTAAGAATATTTTCTCATAACAGTTAGTTGGGCGGATTACATTACCTACTGTGCTGGATTTTGTACGTCTTCAAGTCTGTAGGAACTATTTTATGCAAGTCGGTTAATTGCAAACAACGATATATCATTCTCTTATATTTTATTCTTCCAGAGCAATAAAACATACTAACAAATTTCATTTCCTGTGCAATTTGGGATGATCTTCATCCTGCTTTCTTGTCAATTTCTTCGTGTGGAGATTATCTGGTATAAAAGACATGACTAATGCTTTTAATTTACTGTGTCAATATGAACATGCAGGGATATCATCACATGAATGGTTTATCATGACTAATGTACTTAATAAGATTATTCAATAGTATGAAGATATAATGCAGTGATTTGTTTTATTTATTTATTTATTAACTTTTTACAAATGGTTCCAGACTTTTACAAGATACACGAAGAACAGGAAAACAATGGAAACTGTTTATGCGATACATTTGTTAATGAAAAAGATCCAACGTCTTTTGGATTGGAAGAGACATCTGTTTTAAATCCTGATTTCTAGAGAAACCTATACGATTGTGACTGTTTTTCACTTTTCCTAGGGTCTTATTGATGCCCAAGAATTGAAATCTGCTTCCGTTAGAAGTTACTACATGTATTTACATAGCCCTACTATTTCTCAAGTACATGAATAAAAAAGCAGTTTTAATGACCAACTGCACGAACCATGAAAATTGACAAATTTTCATGACGTCCTCTCCCTTCTTTAAGGTAAATCGAGGTTAGAAGATCATAGATAAGCAAAGTAAACGAAACAAAAAAAAAACATATTTCAATTAAAACAAACACTGATCGAGTAAATATAATGAATCTTCGAATCAAGAGGGAGAGAGAGCCTCTGACGTCACGATTTAAAGTCTGACTCCTATCATACGAAGATCGGCCTTGCGCGATGTATTCAGTTGACGTTTATTTTTGTTTGTTCCTTCTTTGTTAAACTTTTAAAGACACTAATCACTCATGCTATATACAAATATTTTGTAAGTGTAAGGGAAATTATTCGTCCGTTAA